TCCTGTAATAACTATCTGTCAAAAAAATATATCTAGATGAATTTGTGCATAGGTAACGATCAATATAGTAACATCACACGAATTAATATGTTCGTTACATTACGATTTTAAGTTCATTTAGAATTCTGTCATGAACTGATCTAAGTTAGACCTTCACTAGTAACACGGAAGTACTGATCGGCCATTTTGTCCTAGTATGGAACTCGTCAGCAGTGCGCATCCATGACCCCCACTGGCGGGGATCGAACCCAGGACCTTTGGTCTTGCGTGAGAATGCTTAATCTTTAGACTACTATCTTTATCTTGCTTAATTTTAGTCTTCTGAAAGAAAAAAAGTTTGAATGAGGAAAGTGACAGTCTCCATTTTTCTAAAGAATATTCCACTGTGTCTACTTTACGTTAGTTTTGTTGAATTCATCTCCTTTCCACAATGTTCATAGATTATCTACTAATTAATAAATCATGAATCGATCAATTTTAGACCACCATTAGAAACCTGGGAGCACTGGACAACAGTTTCATCCTGGTATGGGACTCATTCACGGCTCCTGCACCTCGCTGGATTCGAACCCGGGACCTTCGGTATTGTGCGCGAATCAATCAGAGTTAGACATTAACACTGTTAGATATCGGCTCATTGATCCAGAGGTTAGGCGTTTACGCGCAAGACCGAAGAAGGTCCTGGGTCCGAATCCTGGAGGTGCAGAAATCGTGGATGCGCACTGCTGATGAGTAATCCCATACCAGGATGAAACTGTTGTCCAGTGTGCTTCCAGGTTTCTAATGGTGTTCTCACAATGATTGATCGACAGTTTACATTCATCATCATTATCATAGTTTGTTTGTAATCTTAATATAACTGATATTGGTATGAAGCTCATATTGATGTCCTAAGGACGTTTCTATGATGCATAAATAAACGAGAGTTGTGTGCTTGATGGTATTGTGATTGCTGGGTTTTTGTAGAATATACTTTCTAGGCTTACAAAGCCTTTTGTCTTCAGCCTGGGATTCAAGGTAGCCTAACTGGACGCTGGTACTTGTCTCATTCGCGTTTATCGACTTTGTTGAACTCGTAATAGCTTCAAGCGTACCTAGTGACGAACCTTGCAAGTTGCGAAAGAACTCAATACTTAGATCATAACTCATCTTAATATGGGACTAGGATTTTTTGAACTAGTCAGTCAATGAGCGATAATTAATGTTGTGATTTATAGCCATTATTTGTTAATTAAAATAAGTGAGTTCAAGATGGGAGGTAATCTTTCTATTACTGATTGTCTGTCAGCTACTTACTACTGTTAAATTATTGCAAGTTTACAAAAACGTTTTAATGAACAGTCAATTTAGTGACTGACTTGGAAATATGTATTACACTAAAATAGTCCAAACTATTCTTTGGTAAAGCTTATATATATATCACCTTATCTACTGTAATCATTTGAAACACTTCAAACATAAAACTAGTACTGTAGAGAAGGAGCACACAGGTGGGGGCAACCGAATTGTAAAATAGAAAAACCATTTCGTAAATCGTTAATTCGCAAAATATCAATCCATCAGATCGAACTGAACTGTTACTGTTGTAAAAACATCAATCCTTTGTCTGACATTTCACTGTTCATGCGTTTTATACAAATCCCATTGTATTGCCGCTCTTCCTTTCTTGATCTTCCCCCCATCTTCTGCTGCCAGACAGTACGTTTTTATTCGCGTCATATACTACTTATAAGTAGCGCGCACCACAGTACCACTTAAAGTTTAAAATAAATTTCATTTTATTTCTCTTAATTATGAGTTATTCATTAAAAACACTTAAAATTTGACCAGATAAAACATGTTTATTTTATGATTCATATTATTTATGATACAATTATTATTGATACCCAAAACGTTTTCATCTTCAATGCTAATAAAGAACACCTTGTTAAGCTTTATTTCTTCTTGAACAGCGATATAAATTATTCAGTATTCCAGCTGTCCAATATAAAATATAATAATAATTATTATTATTATTCAATGACGATTGCATATCATGCAGAATACACATGAAACCTTTTGTTCAAATGTTCAATGTACAACAGAGCGAGAGAGAGAGAGAGAGAGAGTGAGGAAATCTTTTCAACAACAAAAAAAAGCTGTTTTTTGCTTTAATCTTTATTGTTCAGTTAATTTTTCTATGCAACTGAATGAAATTTGAGAGAATCATTTATTAGGATGAACACGCATATCAGCAGAATACATTTTAAAAATAACAGTTAGAAATCTCTGAATAATGGTAACAATAATTATAATAATAATAGTAGTATTACAGGAAGTAGAATAGATTTAAAGAAATTTAAATTATAGAGAAATGTGAAATGAATTGTTTAACTTGTTGTCCCATTGTTAAAATATACATATATATAAATGTGTGTACAATGACTGATAATTGTTGGACAATTTACTAAAGTATTTATAGACTAATTAATATCTTTGATAATGTGGTCGACATTGTCAAATAACTAGAACTAATGTATACATTAGATATGTGTATTAGAGATTCCCATTGTGAAAATTAGAACAACACATATAATAAGCGAACAATAGTGTTGTTTTCGATTAGATCATCATCAGGCTTTACAATCTAATATACATGAATATTTATACTTGAAAATGTTAAACCAATCAAGGCAATTTGAGTCATAATCACAATGAAATCAAATAGAGATAACGTAACTACATATAATAGGCAAAAGTACAAGTGGATAGTAGGAAGACAGGTGAGTACTGATAGTAGTAAGAAAATTATAAAATATGATAACTAAAGTTTTGCATTACGGGGTTGTGAAGATTGTTAAGTTACACATTTTTGAAACCATGAATCGATCAATGTTAGATCACCATTAGAAACCTGGGAGCACTGGACGGCCGTTTCGTCCTGGTATGGGACTCCTCAACTAAAGTTTTATCAATAGTAGGTCAAGGGTGGATGAATCGACTTCAAATAAACATTAAAAACATCAAAACCATTATGTAATAAGCAAATATGTAAAAATAAAAATAAAATAAGATAAAAAATATATAATGTCAATCGTTAGTTACGTCATATTCGGCCACGGAAGAGATAGGGTTGTCACGAATTTCTTCTGAACACATAAATTGGGGTTGAATGTACGAATTCCTATGGCTTCTGCTATGTGTAGGAGACGGGATCGAACTCCGTTGGGAAATGATTGAGGTATATGATAGATCAGTCGAAAAGATCTAGACTTATCTACAATGTGACCACTATCGGCCAGGTGTGCAAAAGATCGAACTGCGTAGTATTTTTGACTGATCCTTCTTAAACCATGCTGGGAGATGTTCACTCATTCGTTGGTTAAGTTGCCTGTCTTTCTACTATCCACTTGAACTTTTGCCTATTATATGTAGTTACGTAATCTCTATTACATTTCATTGTGATTATTGACTCCTAAATTGCCTTGATGATTGGTTTAACATTTTCAAGTATAAATATTCATGTATATTAGATGGTAAAGCATGATGACGATCTAATCAAAAACAATAATATTGTTCGCTTATATGTGTTGATCTAACATTTATATGTGTAGATATATATGTATAATTTTTATATGGAATAGCAGTTTACAACAAATCCCTAATAAATGATGAATTTCTTGTGAAAAATTCAAGTTTTATGCTAGTGAAGTTTTTCTTTTGAAACTGATATATATATGTATATTCTACAAGAAAGAACATGTGATCTTTACGAAAAACAGAATACATGATTAGGTTATTCACAGCAAACTTAATTTATAAAGTTTTTTTCCCGGTTTTTATGTCAGAAAAACACTTTAAAAAGGCTTAACTGCCGTTTTTTTTCCTCAGATATTTATGAGCATATATGACTGGCGATAGGTTAATCAAAATAATTTAACAGTCTATTATCATATAAGATTCATTACAAAAACTAGACATGATTATATTAAAGATCCTATTTCTGAAAACTAGAACATCAATAGAAAAAAAGTTGCTAATCGGTGGTAAGATGACTGGCTGGCTACTACAAGTAATTAGATAACGATCACAGCTTACATCAATTTTAAAGCATGAGGATCAGCAGGTCAGTCGAAACCTAACTGACGACCATGTTGTTGGTAATGAGAGACGGTTATTTAAAACAGGCAATGGATATTAGAGCTGTATAACAACAGGTCAGTGGTCTAAGAGATTAAGCGTTAGCGTACGAGACTGGAAATCCTATGTCTTATTCCTGCATGTAAAGTTGTGCAGTCGCATACTAGGACAAAATGACTATTCAGTGATTGGAACTAGTCTAGGTGAAGTCAGTTTACGATTTGAAACTCTCTGTACAAATTATTAAAATCTAAAAAAACTACGTAATATAAAGTGTTCAAACATTTGGATGGTGACGAATGAATACCGAAAATTGAAGTAAATCAAACTCACTGTTATCAAAAAAGGAATAAAATGAACTGTAAATGTGAAATTCAGTCCAACTTATTCTGTGTCATACAATTTTTTCTTACTACAAACACATCAGTGGATAACACTTAAATTCCACTTTATATCAGCCATTACAAATATAGTTACGAAATTCCCGATAGTACCGTAGTGAACGAGAACGCAGGTGGGGCAACCGGATTGTATTTAACGAAAATTACAGAGTTACTCAGTAAAATAGAAAAACCATATCGTAAATCGTTCATTTGCAAAATATCAGTTCATCATATCGAACTGGACTGTTCCTGTTGCAAAACATCAATCCATTGTCACTGTTCATGCGTTTCATACAAATTCCATTGTGTTCTCACTCTTCCTTTCTTGAACTTCCTCCATCTTCTGCTGCCAGACATTACGTTTACACTCACATCATATACTACTTATAAGTAACTCGCACCACAATACAACAATGCAGAACAATTCATTTTTTTTAAAAATTTATAATGTTATTCTAATTATTCATAATCTTTGTATTTCGTTGATATTTCTAAAAGATGGTCCAGAATTTTCATTACCAACAAATGATATACTATCCGGTGAATTAGGTCAAACAGTTACATTAGAATGTTCAGCTAATTCAAATCCTGAATCTGATGTGTCATTATATTATATTGGACCGGAAGGACAAGTTCTATTAGAGGAACTTACAAAAGCTGAGCTAACTCAATACGATATTCGTCAAAATGTCCCGATGGATTCTAAACATCCAAAATATGTTGTTTGGAATAGTGAAACAGAACATTCAGAATTTAATATGAGTGTAATGAAAACAGCTATTCATTCAAATGGTAGAAAGGTAATAGTTATGCATTATTTATTTGAAAATTATTTTCCCTACATCAGACAATACATGTTACAGTATTATAATGAAAAAAATAAATCATTTGGTTGTTAACATTTGTAATTTCTATCATAGGACAATGTTATTCCAAAACTAATCACCTCCACTGAGTAAATATACGCCTAATTAAAATTTACCAATCACACTTTCAGACTTAGACGCCATGAACTTAGCAAAAATGTTATTCACGTGTTGCGAAATAGTTATTCGATGTTCCTTGGATTTCTTGTGATAACTTGAAACAGCTTAAGCACCTGGCAAACATAATATTCATCAGCAGTGCGCATCCACGACTCCTGGTCCTCTCAGGATTCGGAGCCGGGACCATCGGACCACTGGGTCGTCATCCGACGGTGTTAATGTCTAACTCTGATTGATCTACAGATTTTTGCGCGACCTCACCCATTTGTCTTTGGTAGTGACAGCCTACACCCGACAAGGTTGAACTCCATTGGTCACGTCTTCTCACTAGAACTTTGAGAATTTCATAACGGAGCTAGTCAGTAGACAACACTGTTACGGAATTTTCAGTTAGAGTTTTGTAGATTTGTGTTTTTACACAATACCGGAGGTCTCGGGTTCGAAGGAGTCATGGATGAGCACTTCTGATGAGTCCCATACCAGGACGAAACGGCCGTCCAGTGCTTCCAGGTTTCCAATGGTGATCTAACAATGATTAATTGATGATTTCAAATGTGTAAAAACAAAAACCTGCAAAGCTCTGCCTAATATTGAATGGAGTGTATCATACACAAGTGTTTCGACCAGCTTGTTGTGATGAATATGAAATCGGGTATGACCCTTGTTGATTGATTCTAACAACAATGAGTCCACATTTAGAGTTCTTCAGCATCCTTTTTATTGTATGCGCCGATAATTTCATCAGTACCATCAAAGCAGTAAATTAAATTATTTTTCTTCTGATAAAAAAGCAAAACGCATTTTTATTCAAAAGCATTGAATTAATTATCTCAGTTATTTCATTATTCATGATTAACACGAAAGCATTCAGGAAGTTTACGTACCTACTATTTACATTTGTATACACATTACGATAATGACTAAACCAAAAAACATTGAAAGTAGAACAAATGATCTTTAGTTAATTATAGCATTCAAAATATATCATTATTTTTTTGGCAAAAAGTAGTTTGAATCACAATGTATTTTTTTTTTTTATCATGTTTCCCTAATCCGCTTAATCTCTTTTTCTTTAATCTAGCTATTAGGTTCAGAATTGAAACATGTTTCACGTAAATTACATCTAACCAATTATGGACAATTTGGTTTTTATGCTTGTATTGCTCAAACAACCGGTTATCCACCCATCTATCGTACTGTCTATGTAGGACAAGCTGGTAAGTCAGTCGTTCATGATCTGTTGACTTGTAGCAATAATAATAATAATAATAATAATAATAATAATAATAATAATAATAATAATACATTTATTCATTAAAACAAAACAAGTGAACTGTATAGGAAATTCTGAAGTCAGTTTTTTATTAACAATTTTAATGCCAGACTAATATAATGTGAAATCATACATAGGGTTTTGTATCAGACATTTAGATTAATAGTTCATTCAATTATCACTGTTTAGCTCTTATATCTTCTGATAAAATCTTTCATGACTGACCTAGATAACAGCGTTAGCTTTGATCAACTGTCGGATGATATTAAAACGTTGCCTGAAACATCCGATATAAATGTTTATTAAAGGAGAGAGAAAATTAACGTCATGTGAAAAAGAATAAGAAAGGTTAGGAAAATTGTCACATTACTCTAGGCTTAAAGATAACCAGGGTAAATTCAAGGTTATGATAAATTGTTTCTGCACACATAAGGAGGGTTTTAATTTTCGAATAGCCAAGGCCTCCATAAACCTCAAAATTCGTCCTTCAACATTTCTATACAATGTTTTGAAGGTTGTCTTGATGACAATCTTATGCCCTGTCTCAATTATGTGTTTTGCGATTGATGAACAGGGCTCATCTGACGTTAACTGATTTTGAAGCCACTTAGGTATTATAATGTTCCATAACCCTTGATTGCAAAGTCCGATTACTCTTCCCTATGTATGTGTGTCCACACATGTACTGAGAAAGTTCATTTCACGTTTGATGATGAACATTTCCAGCAAGTTGATGGGTAGTCCTTTGGGACCTCTCTTAGCTGATGTTTATATGGCATATGCTGAAAATTTGTGGAATGACCACATCAATAAGCTCACTCTTTATAGGATATATATGGATGATATTTTAATTATATGTGATAAAGTACTCAACGTCTCTCAGTTACTGGACAACTTCAATAGCCTTCAGAATGACATTGTACTCACTCATGAACCAGAAAATAATGATCGATTGCTTTTTTTAGACATACTGTTGAGTCGAAGGGAGAATGAAACTATAAAGAGTTCTGTTTATAGAAAACGAACATGGACTGGACAGGATCTAAATTTCAGCAGTTTTTGTCCACTGCAATATAAGCGAGGATTTGTAAAATGTCTCTTCAATTGGGCTCAAAGGATTTGCACCACGGATACATTTGACATCGATGCAAAATTCTTAACTGAAGCATTGATTTCAAACGGCTATCCGCTAAAGTTCATCCATAGGTGTAGGGATCAGTTAAGACAAAAGCAAGTTTTTCATTCTGCTGAGAAGAAACAGGTTTATATCACTTTACCATTTAGAGGTGAAGCAAATGGTGGAATATTAAGACAGAGACTAAAAGCAGCCAGCAGCTTACTACTGAAGAATTTCATAAGACAAAATTATTCGTCATTATTGCCAAAAATTTTGTTATATACTCGAAAGGATTCTCTGAAGTTCGGTTTTATTTGCCAATAGCATTCTTAACAAATCGATCTTGTTCGTTTCACATTATACGACATGGAGGGATTGAAAACAGCTATACACTTCTATTTTAGTCTTTCCTGGTTTTTTAACGATACGCTGGATAAGATTAATTGACGGTGTTTGTTTCTTAAAGGTAAAACAAGTCTCTAAAATCTCCTCCAACTAGAATATGGTAATCAACTCGTTGAAAGTTTACTTCAAATTGTTTTTGAAGCAACATCATGGCTGGCGGAGTTCATATATGTCATGAGCGAAACCGTTGTTACCAATTGGACAGGATCATTACCACACAGAATCGCAGATATGATCTAAATTCATTTAAAACTTGAATAGTTATTATGTTTAGGGGTTCTTGTAGGTCTCTGGTGAACCAATGAAATTAAGACCCTAATACAAGGCTTACCTACTGTTGACTTAACCATGCAGTCACCAGTCTATGGATTTGTTATATCACAGAACCATTCAGTAAACTAAACATCAAGCACATGAGATTATTAGTGTTTATAAAAATTTTAACTTTGAGAAAGAATAATACTCATAAATTCACTAATTGCACTCTGAATGAAATTAATTGTGAATTTTTTTTTCCAAAGCATCACCGAAAATTCTAAAAATTGATCAATTGATTGGATCAGATGGAACGTTTGCTAAATTATTTTGTACAATCTATAGTATTCCTAGACCTAGTGTACATCAAATTACATGGTCAAAAAATGGAATCGCTTTAAAGCCGGATAAAAGGTAGGTAATAATCTTGTGGGTAAAATTATACCAGAATAGAATAGTATTTATTTAAACTTAGATATATTTTCAGTTAATTTAAAACAGTGGTTCCCTTTGATAAATTTGAACAGAGAAATGAGAAAACATATTTTGTGAGTTAGTACCATTTCGTACTTTCTCGTCAGTCACATACAAGCAACATGTTATTCGTGTGAATACAGTTTTGAAGATAAAGTCAAAATTTCTAATATAGCATGACATTCACTCACTAGAACCATGGTAAACAAAGGTCAACACATAAAGTTCGACTTTTCCGACTAATCAAGATAGCTTCGAGTAGTTTGAGAGTGTGTGGGTTTTGACGACATGTCACAACTCTAAAGGCTGATTTTGGGTCAATTTGATGACCACTCATCATTAGATGATTTGCAATAGACGAGGCTGGGTTTCTTGATCGATCTTGAGATGACGGGCTAGGTGGATGAATCATGGATTTGATTAACCATTTTGGAATATGTTCCCCTATCCTGTCCTCCATTCGGCGATCTGTCCTACCCAAGTAACTTTCTCCGCAGTTACATGTGAATTGGTAAATACAGTGGGATTTGGACTGAATCGGTCTTGGAGACTTGATTGGGGTAACTGAGATTGATTGAGTTGTTGTGATAAGCGTCAGATTAGCTGCATTGTAGGTCTTTTTTATTGCAGCTGCAGTATGTTTGGTTGATTGGTCGGAAAAGTCCAACTTTATGTGTTCAAAAACAACTGTATGTTGGTTGACCTTTGTTTACCATGGTTCTAGTGAGTGAATGTCATGCTAAATAAGAAATTTTGATCTTATCTTCAAAACTGTGTCTCACAAAATATGTCTTTTCATTTCTCTGTTCAAATTTCAGTTAATTGTTTTGTGCCCCCTTCCCTTTCTAAATTTCTATTTATTGTGTTGTAACGATCATTGTTAAGGAATTGTAATAAACAAAAATCTCCATAAACCTATATGAAGAATCGTACAATGCACTCAATAGCGATTAGCTTCATGAGGTAATTCTCGGAGTTCTAGTAAGAAGACATGGCCAGTGGAGTTCAGCCCTGTTGGGTGTAGGCAGTAACTACCGAAGTCAATGAGTCAGGTTGCGCGAAATCCTCAGATTGACCAGAGTTAAAAATTAACACTGCTAACTGCCAGCCCATTGTTCTAGAGTTTAGATGATTGCGCGCAAGACCGAAGGTCCTGGCTTGGATTCTTTTGAGTAGCAGGAGTTGTGGATGCGCAATTCTGATAAGCCGTGCATTGCTTCCATGTTTCTAATGCTGGTTTAACAATGATTGATTCATGATTTCAGTAATAAAATACTAGAGTCTTGCAAAAGTTCGACGTAAGTTCAAAAAGTGCTAAGCATAAAACACATTTATGAAACCATGAATCGATCAATGTTAGACCACCATTAGAAACCTGGAAGCACTGGACGGCCGTTTCGTCCTGGTATGGGACTCATCAGCAGTGCGCATCCACGACTCCTGCATCCCGCAGGATTCGAACCCAGGACCTTCGGTATTGTGCGCGAACGCCCTAACCGTTAGGGGAGCATAAAACAGACAATAATAATTGTTGTGGATGATTCATACAATTATATTACATAAAAGCAGGAGTATAGTGTCAATGCATGATATTACCGACAATTTGCGGTCTTTATCTTTACCAATATCTCACTAATTTTCTTATTGTGCGCATTTATTCCATTGCGCTTCACTGCTTTTTAATGATTATGTTGTAAACTTCGTATGTTGAATCAATAATCTTTAATCACTAATCTTTTTAAATTAAGCTGCCTAACCTACTGACTGTTTTCAAAATTTTCATATGAAATTCGAATACAATAGTGTACCATTCATCCATTTTTTTTATCTTAGCTATCTAAACTTCAAACTTTGTTGTCAAAGTTTCATTCCATAATAAAATACACCAATGAATAAATGTACTGACTCTCACGGCTTGAAATTCATCGTTTGTTCACATCAATATACCTGTACTGATTATATATTTCTAAAAGTTATCAAGGAGACTGATTATTCTGGAATCGCTGAGTAACGAAATTTCCTGTCAATGAATTGCTTGCCCTTTTGTACGTTAGGGGGAATCTTCAGTAGCAATAGTGATATATATATTTAAACCTGGTGATGTAATGTGTTTTTACAGAACAGTGCTACTGATTGGATAAATAGTATCAATCATGCAATTAGTCAATTAACAGCAACGTAGGATATCGGACGTACGTATGTACATCAGTTCAAGTTACCATACCACATTAGCACAGGGATGTGATTGTCAATTCAAATCCTATAGTAGTACAGGTAGTAAAGGTGTAAGCAGTAATCGGAGAGGTTAGGATTAGATATTATTTAAGATGTAGAATCTAGTGAAATAGACTTAAAAAGATAAAATGATGAAGAATCAAAAAGTTTAGGATTTGAGATAACACGAAGAATTGACGCACCTGCGCCATTGCAAAAGGTATTGAGCCATGTCATTCGGGTCTCGAACCATCGATCAGTAACATCTCGCGGACCCCAACCAGGTAGTTGACACCTACCGACAAGACTCAGTCCACTTGTCAGTGACTTCATGAATTTCTGCAATGTTTTGGTATGCCCCCACCTAGCTTTCTCCCAACCAACCCCTACACCACAAAACATAGCTCGTCGAAGCAGTCGGTGGTTAGTCATACGTAATACAAGTCCGCGTGACCTCAACTGATGAAGTTTCAACACTTTTTCTGTTGATCTACCATCCCTACCTCGTACTTATCTCCTAACGGCAGCATAGCTTACTTGGCTGTTCTAGGATACACGAGCAATGCTTCGAATATATCTATGATGGAAATCCAGTATTCTACGAATATCTTCTACTCTCACTGGCCATGTTTCACAGCCGTAAAGTAGGATGGAGCGAACTACTGCGCAATACACTCGTCCTTTATTCAACAATCGGATATCTCGCCTGCGGCAAAAGTGACGCAGGTTGGCAATAGCCAATCGAGCCTTCTGTATGCGTGCTGAGATTTCGTCACACACCAAGCCATCAGCACTCCCCAGATCAGTGAAACTGTCAACATGCTCAACTGCTTTACTCCCAGCACTAGTTCAGGTGCCGATACCATCTAATCCTGAAGCAATGTTTTTCATTGTATGAGTACAACTGTATCAATATATTGTTTAATTTCAATAAAATTCATTTTACGATCAGTAAAATGACATGATTTTCACTAACACTGTAAATCATGACATGTGTTTTCATTCCACTGTGAAGGTTTGATGCTAACATTAAGGTACAAACACATTCAATTGACGAGTTTAAAATAGACAAATACACACGTCGTGTTTTCCACTGTTAGTCTTTCATTCATCTTTAAGCAAATAATTGTAACTTTAATGACTATACTGAATCAGTCTACTCCCGATTCATATATGTCAAACGAGATTGAACAAAATCCAATCTTAATAACATTAACAACAACAACAGAAATGTGTACACATTCTTTCAAACTATTATTAGAGTAATGAATTTACACAACAGAAAAACTGTGATGGCCAATTTCGACGTGTTCTTAAGCTTCGCAATTAGCTCGTTCAGACAATCGTTACACTAGCGAGTGAATGGGCGAATGTGCGAGTCATTTAATAAGATTAAAATGTTCGTTTATATACGTAGGGAGATGTCTGAGTCATCGTGATATTTAGGAGATTATTAAAGCGAATAGGACGAATAAGCGCGTAGGCGTTAAGCAATGCTCAGTCATACCACCTCATACAAACCACACAATAATAAAAGCCAATGGTACATATAAGTTATTGTTATACAAATGGCTTGATTAAATAAATTAATCGAAAGGTTTGACCAAATTAAATGTAAGCGAATTCAAATATGTGTGGGGGCACTACAAAACAAATCGCTTGACAATGATTTACCTTCATGTCAATTATTGTTTACTTGGAAAATCAGAAGCTATCATACATATACTACTGAAATGTACTGATTCTACTTGATCTTTTGGGAAATAACAATGTTCTCCTAACTTTTATTATTGATTGAATATCTCACAGAAATGAATTTAGAAAGAAAAAAAAGCATTGATGTTTTATTTAGATACATTTTGTTAAGTTTTATTTGTAACCATGAATAGACCAATGTTAGACCACCATTAGAAACCTAGAAGCACTGGACGGCCGCTTCATCCAAGTTTGGTACTCATCGGCAGTGCTCATTCACGACTTCTGCTGACTTCAGGATTCGAAACCAGGACCTTTGGTGATGTGCGCGAAAGCACTGCCGGACCACTGAGCCGGTATCTAATGCTGTTAATGTCTAACTTGATCAATTCATGGATTTGCGCAACCTCATATACTGTCTACACCCGAACAGGTTTGAACTTCACTAGTCACGACTTCCCACTAGAACTCAGAGAAGATTGCTCACGAGGCTAGTCACTAGTGAACACATGTAATTGCATTTGGAGGGTTGTTGTTAAGATTGGACGAAACTGCCGTCTTTCAGTGCTTCCAGGTTTTTCTAATGGTGGTCTAACATTGATCGATTCATAGTTTCAAAATAAAACTTAACAATCTTCACAACAACCCCGCAATACATTTTGTTAAAACAAATATTGTAAAAATCATGAAATAGGTGAAGAAATCTAAATTAAACATAAAAAAAGGAGTATTCATCATTTGTAATGTAGATTATTAGGATAAAGAATGAAATGACAAATTGTTTGTTTCTTGAAAATGAAAATTTACTGGTTGTGAGTGTTAAAGATAAAAGTTTTTTTTTTACATCCAAGATTATTAATTAGGAGATAAAACTTTGATCATCAATTTGATTTCATAAATAGATTTCTCGACAACAAAAATAAATCACTTTAAACGACTCTGTTCAAACAAGATAAACATGCAGTGATATATATTTATATATATGCATATAGAAATGAAAAATTGTAGGTATGAATAACAAGATTTACATTAAAGTATGATGTTGACAGAAAAATTTGTTTTTTTTTCGCTATACTAAATAAAATTTATTTCTTTCTATAAATAAAACTGGGACTGAGGCTAGAAAAACAAACATTGATTAATTAGCTGAAGAAAATATCAACATTAAACTAGTTTCATATGTAACAGTTTTGACTTACTTATGCATGTTACTTCCAATGAAGCATCATGGGTCACTGACCACGATTCTCCAGTCAACTCTCTCCTGGGCTCTACGCGCCAATCGTTCGCGATTCCTAGTCATTCTTTTGCTATCTGCCTTTAGTTCGTGATGCGTGTTCATTGGTCTTCCTTTTCTCCTTTTGACCGTGGGGGTTCCAAGTTAGGACTTGCCTCGTGACACAGTTGGGTGCTTTCCGTAATGTATGTCCTATCCACCTCTTGTCTTATTTTCCTAATTTATTTCTCATATGGAAGCTGGTTCGTTTGCTGCCTTAGGAGGTTAGTGTTGATGGTGTCTGGCCGACGGATTCGAAGTATCTTGCATAGAAAACTGTTTATAAAATATCTGTATCTTTCGGATGGTGGCTTTCTTTATTTGTACTTGTTTTGCTAATCCTTATCTTCACATTTGCATCAGATCCACCTTGTTTACCAACGATACTATCCAGGTATGTTGACGTTTCTACATGTTCCTAAGCTTCTCAGTCAAGCGCGATTTGGTTGAGGCATGTTGTGTGTCGGAGGATTTAGATACTGCCTTTTGGACGTTGAAACCTACTGCTGCCTAGGTAGCTCCTTCACTGTCTGTCTTCTTCTGCTATGTGTGCGACAGGGGACTAAATCGTCCAGCTTCATTCCAGCTGTCCACCGTATTCCGTGCTTCCACTGAGTTGTTGACGTCTTCACAATCCATTTAACCGCCAGTAGAAGGAGATAGGGTGAGAGAAAGCAACATGGTCTGACTTCAGTCTTCCCTTGGAAACAGTCCGTGAGCTGCTACCCGTGAATGATACTGCAATTTAATCCATCATAGGAATTCCGCATGATATTGACTATCTTCTCAGGAGCATCTTAGTGTCAAAAAGCCTCCGTAATGTCATCATATCCACACTATCAAATCCTGTCTCATAGTCAGGAAAGATGGTGTTAAATGATGAATTTCATTTAGTTGATTGTTCCACAATGATCCATAATGTTGTGATTTGGTCGACTCGATTTTACGGATTCCAGCCTATTGAACTCAAAGCCTGGAGTCTACTGAATCTTTCCTTCTACTCAAAAACACTTCGTTGAAGAATTCCCCAGGTATTGAGAGTAGACTGCTGCCTCCGTGGTTCCCACTTTTGGAGATATCTTTCTTTAGTGTCTTGTTGTAGTGTTTTACTTTTCAGACTGTTAGACCTTGTTCTTCATCCAGAATCTTCCTGTACAGAATAAGGAGCATTTTCGAAGTTACTTCGTTGTCTGCTTTCAATGTCTCAGCTTGCATGTTGTCTGGTCCTGCTACTTTACAACTCCTCATGTATCGGATGCTGATTTCTCTCATCGTTCGTGCATTAACATCCATTTAAAGGTTCGTAGGTGCTGCTTCTATGAATGATGGGTTCATTGGGACTGGTCTATTCAGGAGTTCTTCACAAGGTTCTACCAATCTGTTTCGCTGTTCTTCAATGTTTGTAATTACCTTGTCTTCTTGTCCTTCACTGTTTGTTTTGGTTTACTATATTCTCCTGCAAGCCTCTTCATTGTGTCATATAGTCGTCTTGCGTTTCCACCTCTTGCACATTTTTCTGCTGTCATTGATAGATTTTACTTAAATTTACGTTTTTTACTTTGATGCTTCTCTTCACTTGTTTGTTTGCTCCTCATGGAACAGAATCTCATGAGATGCTGAGGTTAGTACTTCCTTGATCCCATTGCAGTTGTTCTTCATGGTAGTGTCCTCTCCATTAAGTATGTTGTGAAAGACCCGGTACCTATTTTTGAGAGCTATCTTGAATTCGTTTAGTTTGCCTGTATCCCGAAGAAAGTCTGTATCAAACTTCTGTGATGCTGTTTGTTTAGATGTCAAGTGCTTGCTTACCTCGAACTTATTTTTGGCCACCACCAAATGATCAGCTAAAGTGATGTCCTCTCCTCACTTTGTCCTCACGTCTTCACTACTGAAGTACAACAGCATCTCTCCGGAAGCTGATTCTGTTTGCCTAGCCTTCGTCCCATGTGTTAGATTTATTCAACTCAGTACCAGAATGTTGCTTTATATATACTAACAACTTGAATGGTTCTTCCGGACTTCCACGTTGTGCTGTGTTTGTGAGAAGAAGCATCCGCCTTGTAGCATCCTAAGAATCTCGGCTTTCACAATGAAGCTAGTATATATACATGAATACATCTAATTATGAAGAATATTTACTGACAAACTCAATGTTTTGGATATAAATCATAGAACGATTTGACGAAAAAAATAATTCAAAAACCTCATTTATGTAAGGAACATTTTAGGAAGCAATTAATTTTGAAATAAAACATTAAATTAAAAAAACAAAATCCTTATCGACAGCTCATTTGTATTCAATGTTCAATATAATTTTCTATTTATTTTATTACCTATGGTTATCAGATTACGAATTTATCAAGAGAAAACTCATCGTGGTGTAGCCAGTGTGTTAACGTTAAAAAATTTACGTCCAAATGATTTTTCTACATATAACTGTACAGTAGTCAATGATCATGGAACTGATTGGAAGTTAATTACATTAACATCTGACAGTAAGTACATCATATATACATATGTTCAACTGCATTTTTTTATTCGAGAATATTTCTGTGTTAAAATAAAAGATAATCTGTACAGAAACTTGCTTCTAAATATTTCTTTGAAAAACAAGGATCATAAAATCAGCTACTGTGCTACAGTTAAGAATTCAGAAGTACATGTCTACATTTCTGTGAAAGATTAAACTTGGGTCATTCTGGTCGTATACATCTGAACGAATAAACCATTGTGTTACTGAAGCCGATGGTTTACATTTACAGCCTCAAATAAACCAGACGGATGATGCCGTGTTAGTATATAAGGATCTAATTTCAAGGAATATCTACTATTAGAATCATGGACCGTTCGGTGTCTGGCGCTCATTAGAAACTAAAGGGCACTAAGCAGAGGTTTTTTCCTTGCGTGTGATTCTTCACCAGTGCGAGTCCACGACCCCCTACTTTCAGGAATCGAACCTAGGACTTTCAGTCACCCCCGTGAACGCCTAACGTCTAGATCACTCAGCCGGCACTCAAAAATGTTATTATTTAACTTTCATCAATCTAGGTTATGGAAATAGTTGTTTATCATTAAAAGCATCAATCAACTATTGTTAGAATGTGCTCACTAGTGACTAGTTTCGTGAGGAAATTCTTGGAGTCTTAGTGAGAGGACGCCACCAGTGGATTTCAACCCTTTCGGGTGTAGACAGTAACTACTGAAGAAAATTTGTGAGGTTGCGCAATACCTTGGATTGATTAGTAGTATATATATATATATATATATATATATATATATATATATATATATATTAGTGACCCGCGATTTGACTCGACTATGACAGAATGACCGAGTATGTGGTGAAATAAATCTTCCTTTCCATGTCCACATATCATACTTAGGCAAATCTTGTTTGTGCAACCGCTTTAATAAGCAATCAAATACGGTTTCTTGAATGAATTTATTTCAGTCATTCACCTAAGCAGACTGACATGAGGATATAAAGTAAATTGAAGTGAATTGTAGCAGGCAAATAAGCCAACTCGAGTGCACTGAAGCATGAATAAGTATTTATGGTTGGGCAATAATAGGCTAGACATGTAATAAGCTAGTAAACATGCATCCACACACACACACACACACTCAATTATATAATAGTCAATACTGTTATCGAATTATTTCAACAACCAATCATTAAAGCTAGTCGAATGAATATGTGAGTAAGTTGTTAGAATATTCAAGCATGCTTGTGCATACAAGCTCAACAATAACAAAAGTTCAGCTGTTGCCGTACAAATGACACTTTGTTAAATAAGTTAATAAAAGGTTTTAACGAAGTTATAATTGTAAAGAAACTCAAATTTATGTGCGTTGCTATAAAAAAAATATAAATATATATAATCTTTAATAGTTGTGAGTAACATTCTCTGATATATGTGAAAAAGTCTAGTTTTATGTGTTCCACTGCTTTAGAATTGATAGATATGGCTTGAAAAGTAGTGTTGCTAGATCAAACGAATTGCTGATCTTTTCAAGCAGAGTTTTGGAGGTTTAAGTTAAGCGTTCTCGCACAATACCGAAGGTCCCGGGTTAGAATCCTGCGGGGTGCAGGAGTCGTGGATGCGCACTGCCACTGATGAGTCCCATACCAGGACGAAACGGCCATCCAGTGCTTCCAGGTTTCTAATGGTGGTCTAACAATGATTGATTGATGATTTCAAATGTGTAAATTGCTGATCATGTTCTGCCCCATACATTATCACATTACTAATACCTATTCAGCGGTAATTTTGGCATATTTCTTCTGATAACATTCTTTGTCATAGAAAATTAACTGATAATAAATTCACTTTTACTCAACTGCTGAGCATCATCTCAGTTTTAGAGCAATGTAAATGATCGTCTTTCAATCAAAACGATCTTGACTAATATGTACAAATTTCAATATTTTATCATGCTTTCTAATACGTGATCAATAGTTAACGGGATAACATTTTAAACCATACTTAAAAAGCAATTTCATCCTCTCTCTCGCTCTCTTATTCTATTGATTTTAGACAAATGGCCATTAATATTTGCTATCATTAGTGGTTTCGCTGCACTATTGGCTGCTTTATTTGTAACAGTTTTATGCTGTTTCATCAAATACACACGAATGAAACGTAGTAGTAGTAGTTCAAAAAGTTATTGCAATTCTAAACGCCAAACTATTCTACAAGATAATAAAGGTAAGTAGTCAATATTTTAACACTTTTATGTATAGCTTTTATCTCTAGACAGAGTTTATCTGTAAAAGTAAAAAATGAACGTTTTTTGGTATGGATTAATTGATAACTATCGATGTAATTAATAATGAGTGATTGCTTTAAAAATTTAAATATTTCTACTATTACTGTGTGTTTTAATTTTTATCTTACAGAAAACAAACAAATAAAATATGGTGTAGAATTAAAACCAATGCTAAAGTGTAAATCATTACAATCGGATCAATCGAATTCCGATCCGGCTGAAAATATCATTCTAACAAATTATGTGAGTAATACATTTCAGTGACATTGCAGATATTGTTCATGGTAGTTATTTGAATGTAACTGGAGAAACTTTATTCAAACAATTTTAATAAAATTGAAAATTGAAAGTAACAAACAACTAGTTTTTGCTGTTTTTTTTAATTAAAGAAACCAAAACTGACATTGTTGAACTTTAGGACTGCAGATTGGCAACTTATTTATTCACTTATCACAAGTGTACAATCGATCGAAGTGCCATCCATGCGATATATATCATTTGATCATAGTTATATTTCTACTCTGTAATTGTCAATGCATTTAACATAAACATGTAAGCTAACTGAAAATTTTGAGTGTGTTATGCTCGTTCATTGATAGGCTTGAAACTAATCCGAGTTCACTTTACACGGTAAACGAGAGCGAGACAAATGATCCAGTGACACGATAGGCTAATACAATCCGGGCGTCCCAAGCCCCAACAAACGGTATCAAGAATTCCTGATATGGCCTAGAAAGCACCAAGAAAATATGAGGTTTTGTACGGAAGAAGATGAGCAAAAAACTCTACAGACAATGCACATTTATACAGTTAAGTCGATCGTGAATACTAACCAATAGGAAACAACATTTAAGAGTATATGAACTTGATAGCTTAGGACGACCTTAAATATTGGCCTATAGGAATTGACCAATAGAATTGGACTTACAAAATAGTTTCTTTAGGATATTTGATGAATTTCCTAGCAGAGTGTTCACGGAATAAATTAGCACACGATTCTCAATCTGGAATTCATGTTTACATAAAGGTTAGAGTAGGTAGAATTTCACGTCAATAACATTGTGATACTGTGGTACATTGCTTCGAGGTTTTTATCGCAAGAAGTATTCCATTTCAAAAGTTTTGTTCATGAAACTATCAATAAAAACTACAAAGATTTTTATCTTATATCTTTAAGAATGTTTTCAAGTATTTAGAGCTTACTGGAAAATTCATTTTTCTATTTAAATACAAATGACCATATGCCTGAATCATTTGTTCGACTTAAGAATATTGTATGATTTAGTCAGTTTCAAAAAAAAATCGGACCCTAAAAATGCACAAAATACGGTATTTTACATTGGGAAATATAACCGTAAACATATGTTTTAGTGAGGTACTGAGGAAAGCATTACTAAATAGCTGCGTATGCCTAACCACCGACTGCCTCGACGAGCTTTGTTTTGTAGTGTAGGAGTAGGTTGGAAGAAAGTTAGGGGCGGTCAGACCAAAACATGGCAGAAATCCATGAAGTCATTGACAGGTGGACTGAATCATTTCGGTAGTTGTCGACTACCACCTGGTTGTAGTCCGTGAGATGATAATAATCGATGGTTAGAGACCCTAAATGACATGGCTCAAAAACGTTTGCGATGGTGCCCGTGCATTTATTCTTTGTGTTCTCTCAAATCCTAATCTTCTGGATTCTTCAACACCCCTAGTTTTGTCTTTCTAAACTTATCTCACTGAATCATACTTCTTGAATAATATCTTTTAATCCTAACCTCTCCGATTACTTCTAATACATTTACTACCTCTTCTACTATTGGATTTGAATTGACAATTACATCTCTGTGCTGATGTGGTATGGCGACATGAACTGATGTACTTACGTACGAAGTTCTACGTTGCATCTAACTGACTGGCTTACTAACTAGCTCGTCTATTTTCAAATTTTTACGAGAAGTGTACGACGAGCTTCACGTTTCATTGCATCGTCATGAGTATCGTTCGCCTTTTTTTTACTTAAACTGCAGATCGAAATGCCTAATCTGTTCTAGTTACTTTCCTTTCCAAAAACAATTTCACAGTACACCCTTACTAATAGCCAACTACATGTTTAAACGATGTGTCAAACGACTAATTCTCTGTCTCACCCAGTTTACCGAAATTTGTCAAAGAATATCATTAAGTAGAGACATTGCTTTCATAATTTTGACAAGAAATTGACATGTATGTTGTGCTTTACATAATAGAATGAAGGAATTATGAATCTATACAAATGGCGAATAATTTTGTTTCATATCAACTTGCCGCTGAACTGATTGTTTCTTAAATGATTACTTTGATTTTCCTACTTACTACTAGGAGTGTTATCCACCTGTTCAAACTATTGGAGCTGGTGAATTGGATATAGTGAAAAGTGAGAAAGACATTGGGAAGTGTACAAGTCATGATTTAAAGTAAGTATGAATCATATTACATTGTGTCACACTAACCAATATCCTTTAAGATATAATCTAAAGTCAAGTAGTGTCAAATCTCTCTCTCTCCACAAACGTCGTATAAACTCTTATTCGATTAGAAAATCATGTCATCTTATTTCAGTTTACCAACTATAGACATCAAATCAGATAACAATTTTTATTCCAAGTATTCGGAACTTCGAATTACGTAATTTATGTTATTATATACATATTACTGAGGACGTTATTATACCAAACATCAGTATAGTAGTGTGTGGAGATTATTGAATCTTATAGTTTGGAAGTTCAACTGTATTGCCTGTGAGCAGTTGATTACCGAATGTAATGACGACGATTACTGAATGTTATGATCTGCCTGGAATTAGACATGTAGCACATTGAGTATCACATATGCTCTTAGGATGAATTACGACGCAGATATGAGGGCGCGGATTGGCAAAGCAAGGGCTGAAATTCCTACAGTTGAAAAATATCTGGAGGTCCAAACAACTTTCAACCGAAACCAAAATCAGGATTTTCAATACAAATGTGAAGACAGCTCTACTGTATGGAGCGGAAGCTTGGAGAACTACCAAAGCAATCATCCACAAGATACAAGTATTTATGAACAGTTGACTTCGCAAAATATTTCGGATTCGTTGGCCAGACACCATCAGCAACAACCTACTGTGGGAGAGAACAAACCAGATTCCAGTGGAGGAGGAAATCAGAAAGAAGTGGTGGAAGTGGATAGGACACAGACTGCGAAAAGCACCTAACTGCCAAACAAGACAAGCTCTCACATGAAAATCTCAAGGTAAAAGGAAGAAAAGAAGGCCAAGGAACACATTACACAGAGAAATACAGAAAGATATGAGAAGAATGAACAAACATTGGAAAGAACTAGAAAGGGAAGCCCAGGACAGAGTTGGTTGGAGAAAACTGGTGGGCGGCCTATGCTCGATTGGGGGTAACAGGCGTAAGTAAGTAAGTAAGTAAGTAAGTAAAGTCTTAGGATGAATCTTCAGGGTCTCTGGTTTCGTTCAGTGATAATATCGTGGATGTGAATCGATAAGAAGCCTTAAACTAAGATGAAAATGTTTCTCAATGCTACAACTTATCCAATAATTGTTTAACTATGATAAATCTATCATTAAAACTAATCATACTGTCCGTTCAGTATGAAAATTCCACCGAATGCGAAATTGTTCGAATATATGTATAGATATATGTATGTACATAGTATCGATCAGTAATTTTAATTCTTAAAATATTTAATAGTAATTAAAAATTTTACAAGCTTTTTCAATTCTATATTCCAATTTTTAATTACTAAAGATAATTAATATTATTTCAATTTTTCTTATTTGTCTGATAAAATTTCCCTTTGATTTTTTTTTTTCTTGAAATTTTTATTTTTAGCGCTGTTGATTTATCCACAAATTTTATTGAAGAGAATTATTTGAATTTCAGTTCTTGTACATATCCACACGAGATTATCCCTACATTGTCCAGCAATGTTTATTCAACAAACCATGCCATAATATCATGTACAAATCATCAATCGATCAATTGCAACCAACAACCATTTGGTACAACACTAGTTGACAATCAATTTAACACTGTAATCAGTAATAGTATGTCATCACCATTTCATACCTCTGAATCATTGACTAATATCATTCCCAATATGAAACAATTAGATATAACTTCTACTGATTCTACTAAACCATGTGTTTATCAATCGAATGATTTCAAAAACTCCATATCACCTCAATCGCTGTTCCCCAGTTTTCCAAATAATTCTACATCATTGGGTCCTATTTTTTTAATGACTTCAGATTTGAATTATTCCACTGGAATTTGTCATAATCCTATCAGTTCCAATTCTGCGACTGTTTTAATTCCACCGGTTATTCTACAACCAACTAATGAACAAACTTTCATCAGTCATACTTATAATTCAATGTTAGACAATACAAATGTCAATACCTCAGTTGTTTTCAATACTAACAGTAGTAATATTAGTAGTACTAGGAATAATATTCCAGATATTTCTATTATCCCATTCAATGTGAACAATTATCAACCAAGATTTAATGATTGAGATTTCGATCAATGCAACAAGATGACAGTGTTTATACAATAATTATGCGAATACTTGCATTTTATTTTGTCTATGTCTATGTTTTGATAATGCAATGAAGGAATATGTGCAGAATTTTCGCGAAAAATTTGTAATTTAATTGATAACCATTATGATTATGATTATTTTCTAAATATGTCACAATATTACTCCTTTGTTTTTTTTGGTTATTTTGTAGATAATAAATCATCGACTCATTTTTATATGACAGCGTACAGTTTAAAAGTTTTCTGTTTTTTTTTCTATTCACTTTCCTTTCTTTCTTCTGTCCATTTCCGGTTTTTTCTGATTTGATTTGATGTTTTGTTTTTTTTTTTCGTTGGTTTTGTATCATTGTAAACAAATAGAAAGAATAAATTCTACTGTGATTATGTATTGAACATGTTGAAGATGTTGATGGATAGATACCAAGCTGTAACGTGACATGACTATGATGGAGCAAAGCAATCTGACATTGTGTATTGTATCTATCAACTAATCAGAGTATAGATGTGCCCCTTGCTACATCCAGTCCACCACACTTCAGCTCAATCCGATAGTCGATCTAAAAATCAATCTATTATTAGATTGGTTAAAAACACCTAACATTAGCAGATATCCTCTATCCTCTCTATCGACAAATATTGGGTTCGTCAATAAGTATGCTTGAGGCTACTATTACGAGGATACCTTAGTCGATAAACGTGAACGAGACAATTACCAGAGTCCAGGTAGGCTATCTTGAATCCAAACGGTAAAACAGAAGTCTTGGTAAGCGTAGAAAGTATATTCTACAAACACCCAGCAATCACAGTACAATCAAGCATACAACTCTCGTTTATTTATACATCATAGAAACGTCCTTGGGACAGTCACAAAAAATAGCACACTAAAATACACAGCAGCCAATCACAGCCATGGATTTTTCTGTTGGAAACTGAAATCTCACTGTCAACTAACTGATCAGCCCATGCTGGTTAACGTGAAAACCCAAAATAAGGCATTTATCAAGCGAGTTTTAGGGATTTAGCATCCCCAACAATATGACCATTTGAATGAGTTATATGGTTATGTAGTGTGTATTGTGCATTAATATGGCTCAGCTTTTTAGCCATTAAACCAATTACTGCATAGTTTGGAATGAGGTAGATAGGAACGAGTTGAATCTAATATGATGTTGCGAAAACCCAGCACATGGGAACGCATGTAGAATTAGTTATCGTACTTGATGGACCGGTGTTGAAAAAGGTCCTTAATTTTAGATATTTTTTTTAGGTTTTCGTCCATAAGTTGCTTAGTTGAAGTTCAACCTACATTTCTCATTCGGAAAGCCCTTGACTATCATTGGCTGATGGATTATTTTAGTAGGCTATTTTTGTGGCTCTCCCATGGATGTTTCTATCATGTACAAATAAACTCAATTTGATGTGCTAGTTGACCTCGTTTTTTCTGTGTAGTGCTTATAGAATAATACACTTTCTACGCCATATCAAAACTTCTTGATATAGTTAGTTAGCCAAGCAGCGGACCAACGTATTGGAATAGCCTATCGTTTCAGTGCATTATTAGTTTTCGCTCTCGTTTACCGAGTAAGGTGAATGGATGGGCGAAATTCTATAGTTAGACAGGTCAATTATGGTTTCAGATTGCCGAATCAGAACGATTCGATTGTAAACAGACACCGTAGAAATCAACCGAGATATACGAAACCTATGCCCACTGGAAGAGGTCGATTATTTGAGCACGACGGCAACGGGGCCTAGACGTGGTGACCGCTTCGTGGGAGGGAATGTTAGTTTAAAGTAAAAGTTGATCTTGTTCTGACTAATAGCTTTCCCATAGACTCTGTACTTGCCAATATTGCGTTTATCGTTGTAGAATTACATCTGTAGGACAAAAAATAAATCCTACAGTGAACTCGTAATAATTTCAAGCATTTCAACAGGACACACTGAACGTTCAGTCTATTTTACTTGTTGATCTCAATATCGGGAAATTCAAGTTGAAAACTCATTGTGCAATAACGCCTGCTTCACTATATGAAACGCGTTGCTATGATGACTCTTATAAGGGTTAGGATAAATTTTTAAATGAATTGAAAATAAGCAAAGAGATTTAATTAATTTTTTTATTTTGTTTACATCATCTGTAAAAAATGAAGTTGTTTTATTATTAATAAAAAATAATAATAAAAACCTCATTTTCAGCATTGTCTAATGTAGAAGAATATTTGTAGGGGAAATATATATATATATATATATATATATATATATATGTATATTACGTTTATGCATTAGAATGGGCGAGAGCAGAAACACACAATACAAACAAACGAAGAATTCGAATCAAAATTCCATTGTTTGGTGTAAAAGTGTTGAAAACAGTTATTTTTTTTGTTGTTTGAAAAATTAACTCTTCACGTTGTTATGGTAATAGTTTGGGTTGAAATATATATATATATATATATATATATATATAATAGTAAAGTTTGTAAAGATTATCACCAAAACAATTATTTCATATTGGATACTTTTATAGACAGTAAGTTTTGTGCAAAAAAAAATAAACAAGGGTTTGAACTTTTTATTGAGATTACTATTTCATTTTTGTCTATTGTTTCTAGACTATTGTAAGTGTTTTGTTTATTTCATAGGCTTCATCAGAAAATGATTCTGCAGGTATAGTTATTTGAAATTAGGATGAAATAAATGACTGTTTTAGTTTTTGGAATTGTACGTAAACACGTCAATTTTTTATATGCTTGAACTGTTACGAGTTTACCTTAGTCGGTAAACGAGAGCGAGGATCGAGGATCCGGTGACATGACATGTTACTCTAAACCGAGTGTCTCATTGAGTGAAGGGCAGAAGACTTGATATGAAGTAGAACCTGTATTCTACAAGCATCCAGAAAGTACGAGGTGCAAGTCTAGAGTAGGATCAGGATTCCAGACTAGGGATCCGGGTTCGGTTCATGAAACGTTACAGATAATGCGTATTTATACATTTAGGTCGAATAGGAAACAGCATAGAAGTCTGTGACATTGACAGTTAAGATGACCAATAGGAAACAACATTAGAATACGTGACATTGATATCTAGAACGACCATAAAATTGACCGGTAGGAATAGACCAATAATTTTCTCAGGATATTGGATGAATATCCTAACAGTTTTATCCTGTTGTAAGAATTCTTAGCAATCTACCTCCATGAATACACTAGGGAACGTCAGGGACGTCAAGGTCTTATTGCCATCATGTAAAATTAAAACCACTGAGCAAATCATCCTACCGATTACATGTCAAACTGTAATCAATTTATAGTGTTGTATAATCCTCTTCTTACACCAGTTTGAGATGAATTCGCATTGCATTGGACATGCTTGAATTCCGCAGATCACTGTTTCATGTATGTACTCCGGACAGCACCTGTTGAGATCCTCCAACAACAAGTATATCATAATTGACATATGTTAGGTTCGTCACTAGGTACGCTTGAAGCTATTACGGGTTCAACTTAGTCGATAAACGCGAACGAGACAATGACCCAGCGTCCAGGTATACTACCTTGATCCCAAACTGCAAAACAGAAGACGTGATAAGCGTAGAAAGTATATTCTACAACACCCAGCAAGCATAATACAATAATACACGCACACAACTCTCGTTTATTTATACATCATAGAAACATCCTTGGGACAGTCACGAAAATAGAAAACTAAAATAAACAGCAGCCAATCACAGACAAGGATTTTCCCTGATGGGAAAAGAAATCTCAATGTCAACTGATCAGCCCATGCTTGCAACCATGAAATCCAAAATAAGGCATTTATCAAGCGAGTTCTGGGGATCTAACATCCCCAACGTCATGGATTAGAATAATGACTGATAATAGTTAGTTACTAAATGATAAATATCATCAATTCGATGGTGATTTATCAGTTTTGTTTCGTGTCTTGTGTTAGTAGCCTTAAAAAAAAATAAATCTCAATAACAAATAAAAATGATTAGTTATGTAGTAATAATAGAAGTCAATAGAAACTGTAATTGATGCAAATACTATCTATTGTTTATGATAAAAAGCTGTTAATTTGTTTAAGACATAATATTACGAATAGTCGTTGTTTTACTAGGTAACGTAATCAAATTTAACCCGAAAGGTCACAGATTTTACCTACATTACATCTACTTCAATATTATGAAACCAGTTCATTTCACTAGTAAGTAGTCAAACAATCTTTCTGAAGAACTGCTAGCTCATTATACATAAGCCTGATGTGTGAGTACAATTAATGTTGATGAAAAATGTAATTAATTATGTTTGATTTGAATAAATTAATCAGTAAAATAAATATAGGTCTGTTAAGATTTTTGAGTTTGGCTGACATCCTAAGCCACGTTATGTTTGTGGTGGCCAATTTCGAAGTGTTCTTAAGCTTCGTAATTAGCTTGTTCAGACAATCGTTACTAAATAGCGTCTGACGGTTTATAAATCAGAAGGTGAACTCGAAGTTTTGAATACGTTTATTTTGGCACACCAGAAATAAGGATAGCAGACCACAAGCAGACCGGGCAGGCACACTAGTGAATGAGTGGGCGAGTGAATTAATAAAATTAAAATGTTTGTATATATACATAGGAAAATGTCTGAGTCATAGTGATATTTAAGAGATCAATATTAAAGCGAATAAGATGAGTAAGCGCGTAGGCGTTAAGCTATGCTCAGTCGTACCAGCTCAACACAAACCACACAATAATAAAAGCCAATGGTACATATAAGTTATTGTTAAACAAATGGCTTGGTTAAATAAATTAATCGAAAGGTTTGACCAAATTAAATGTAAGTGAATTCAAATATATGTGGGGGCACTACATGTTGAACCTGAAAACACTGGATAATCGTTCCATCCCAGCATGGGACTTCAAGGTAGTGTGCATACACAGCCCAACAAATGACAATCAAACTCAGAACCTTCGATCTC